AAGGAGTGGAGTACAAATACTTTGTTACTGTACTTAAGTACATGTTTCTGGTATCAGTACTTTACTCCACTACTTATGTTACTTTGACTTCTTACATGTTGAACACAAATACCTGTACTTTCTACTTCTTACATGTTGAACTCAAATACCTGTACTTTCTACTTCTTACATGTTGAACACAAATACCTGTACTTTCTACTTCTTACATGTTGAACTCAAATACCTGTACTTTCTACTTCTTACATGTTGAACACAAATACCTGTACTTTCTACTTCTTACATGTTGAACACAAATACCTGTACTTTCTACTTCTCACATTTTCCAAACGGGCTGGTTCCTTTAGTCTGAATGTGTGNNNTACATCAACATGTGTCCCCTCTTCTTCATGTCTCTTCTACATCAACATGTGTCCCCTCTTCTTCATGTCTCTTCTACATCAACATGTGTCCCCTCTTCTTCATGTCTCTTCTACATCAACATGTGTCCCCTCTTCTTCATGTCTCCTCTACATCTAAAGTAACAGAGAATCATCACTTTGGAAACAGGGCTGAAACAGAGGGGATTATGGGTAATGCTGCAATGATCTGTTTGGTGTTTCAGCCAATCAGAGACAGGCTCTGGATATATCTGAGACCTGTGATGTATTGATGAATAACTGAATAATAGGAGAACTTTAAAGATGTAAAGAAATGTATTAAAATAAAGTTGCCCTGTGTTTTTCTTCTTATCAAACAACGAACATTTAATTTATATTTTTTATATTTTTCTTCCCGCAGGAAACGTTTGCTATCTTCATCTTCGGAGCAGAGTTCGGTCTGAGGGTCTGGGCCGCAGGATGCTGCTGTCGGTACAAAGGATGGAGGGGAAGGCTGAAGTTCGCTCGAAAACCGCTCTGCATTCTGGGTAAGGAGTCCATCATTAACATGCATAACACTGAGGACGAATAAACACATTGTAATTCATACTAATATCATTTACATGTTATTCCAGCTAAATGTGACCATCTTTACTTTAACTTCATATGTTTTATAAGTATTTTCATTATATTTTATTTCACGTTTTACTGCACATATACGTATATATACTTTAATGCAATTTTTATTTATTGATCTCTTATTTTCTGAAATGTCATAAAACCCATTTTCCTAAACACTTCATCTGATGACTTAAAGGCTGTTGCCGTTATTCGTCACTGTGATTTGTTACAACTAAATCTAATCATCAGCGTTTCACTCATCAGGAGCTCATTCCTCCGCTCTGCGTTCCCCCTCCTCAGAGCACATTTAATAACTGGGTCTGCTCATTAAGGGTTTGATGAACGCGTCACATAAAGAATATTTCTCCATGAATCTTTGGCCCTCTATTGAAACACTAAAAAGGGGCCATATTAAAAACCTCTACTTTAATTACAATGTGTTCGTACTTTAGTCTTTATCCTCTGTGAATGCAGGACTTTTACTCGTAACACAGTATTTAAAGTCTTGCTAAAGTCATGGATATGAATATGTGTACTGAATGTTCCCGTATGTGTGCATGCAGACAGGAAGCAGGAAGTGCTCCAATGATTTTTAAATGGAAAAATAAGTAAGATGTTTCCAGACCTGCTCTGTTTTTCAGTATACTGGGTTTGTGTTGATTTATAGAACCTAGGAATGATATGTTAAAGAAAACGTGTTGTGAGAATGTCCCTATAGTCGTTTCTACTTTAGTTTTCTACTTCTTACATTTTCAAAACAGGCTCATTACTTTAGTTTTGATCTCTGTGACTTTAGTTGTAATCTCTTCAGCACTTAATGGGTTTGCAAAGACAGTTGAATGCGTGCAAAATAAGTTCCTGTGTTCTGGAAAGTGTGTGTGAACGCGTTCAGCCAGGGTTTGATGAATGTAGCATTAATTAATATGTTAAATAAAGAGTGCTGCAATTCAGCTCAACAACATGTCGTGAAATAACTTCAGTACCGAGGATGGGATCTGTATTTACTTGCATTTACTTTCCACATCTACACTGTAGCTTCTGAGCACAGAAAGCCTTTAATCTTGAATCTACGGTTTCGTTACATGTGTTTTCATTCTTCCATGAATCTGTTTCCCCAGACATCTTCGTGCTGATCGCCTCGGTGCCCGTGGTGGCGGTGAGGAACCAGGGGAACGTTTTGGCCACGTCTCTGCGCAGCCTTCGCTTCCTGCAGATTCTCCGGATGCTGCGTATGGACCGGAGGGGGGGCACCTGGAAACTGCTGGGGTCCGCCATCTACGCCCACAGCAAGGTGGGTTTCATCCCACAGAAACTTCAGTGTGGAGGCTGAGAGATACACTGGGGGAACAGCTGAATGAAAGTAACGTTCGTTTGTACGTAAACGTGCTGCAGTCCAGCTCCATCTTATCTTAAAACATTATCACTACAAACAATTGAAGTGTCTTGTCGTGAAATAACTTCAGTACCGAGGATGGGATCTGCATTCTCTTGCACTGTTTTATTTGTTTTATGTGCTATATATATTCATGTTGCTCTGTTGGAGGAGCCTGGGACAGTTGCCACATCTACACAGTAGCTGCTGAGCACATGATGATGAAGCCTTGGATCTTGAATCTTCGGTGGCCGACCGGTGCAGATGCGTCTCCACCATTTGGAGAAACACACTTTTTAATGAGGATTTAACGAGAACTCTTATTGGTCACATTTTCGGTCATGTGTGTGTTTTCAGGAGCTGATCACGGCGTGGTACATCGGCTTCCTGTCTCTGATCCTCGCCTCCTTCCTGGTGTACCTGGTGGAGAAGGACGACGTCTCCATGGAGGTTTCTGACCCCGACAACCCCACCGCGCAGCCCAAAGCGCAGGACTTCGACACGTACGCCGACGCCCTCTGGTGGGGACTGGTACGTACTGCACATCAGCGCTGTTATCACTGTTGAATATCAGAATATCACCAGGTAGGTTAGCACGTACGAGGAATTTGACTCGATGTCGTGGTGCATGAATGAGTCAAACTAAAATTAAAAAACACACAGATAGAGAACTATTTTAAGAAAACATTAAAAAATAATAAAACATAAAAAATATAGTAAAATATAGCAGTATTTACATAGAAATAGAATGGAATAAAAAAAAAATATATATATCAATAAATAATACATTAAAAAAACGATATAGTGTGCTTTAATGTAATGCATAGGGTCTCTGATGTGGCTGGGGTACAGTGAAGTTGTTTCTCTTATATTTAGGAGCTCCCTCCTGGTGAACCTGCTCGATGTTCTGTATGTAAACACTGAATTAACGCACACAACAAGACAACACCGAGCGCACCAAAACACAGAGGCAGCCGTCCGCGGCGCGATCTTGCATTCATCCCTTCAATGATGCAAAAGATCCAGTGTTTATTAAACAACACATGAAGCCAGTCCGAGAGCAGCTGGATGAGTTCTGGTCAGTGCTGGCTCAGCTTCCTGCTCTAATGAAGCCTTCCAGCACGCTGGCCTCATTAGAGATTCCTTCATCCTGCAGGCCACAGATCAACATCTCTGACAGCGAGCATCTGCCCCGCTGAAGTGTCCTTGAGCAACACGCTCACCCCTCATGTTATAGATGAGGCTGAAACACACAGCCATCAGAGATTCAAACAGAGGTTACAGAGAGGAGCATTTCTCTCTCTTGTACGCTGTTGTCTCAAATCACAGGAAGTAACGATCGACAAACCAGAACAGACCACTAAATGACTCCCAATAAAATAAACAGTGGTTTATTTTGACACCAGCATGTAAAGTGATTACGTAGAGAATGAAATCCACATTTGTTGTAAAGTGTTGGCTTCACCAGAGCAGCAGCATCGACTAATGTTAGCCAAGACGCCGGTCGTTGATTGTCGATTGTGAGAAGCAAGAAGAGGGCCAGCCATTCAAGCTCATGTTCGTAGTGGTCAAACGGTGGTACTACACGCGCGTGCTTGCTACATAAACGACCAACACTTGTGTAACCCTTATTTAAATCACACGGGTCTAAAAGTTGCGCCAAAAGCTGAAACCAGAGGTATATTTATTCTACATTCAATTGACTGATCCAAGACCTGGAGATGGGAGGAGGAGCTTAAGGAAACATTCACTGAGCATGCTTTATGAGCCCCCGAATCTACAGTCGCTCCACCTTTGGCTTCATGTGCCGCTGAGCAACTCTTATAGGAATTAACGGGGCATCTCCTCCAACGCTGGGTCCAGTTCTCTTTAGACATCTGGGTACTAATAGTGCCTTTTGCCATACTTCACATTGATGCGCACTAAAACACTGAAGATAGCCAGTGTAAATACAGAAGTAGATACTGTAGTCCAGTTCCTATTCTGTATGTGTCTCTTTTTGTTGGGAGAACACTGAATGTCCTCTTCCAACATGAGAGCAACATGCTAACAAAGGTATCAACTGGAGCTGTGAACATGACAGGATGTGTGATTACCTAGAAGAGCATCAGGACTGTTTGAGGCATATGATAGCTATGTGATTAACATGATGATTCAGCCTCTATGGAGAGAGACATATGACAAGCATGATCATTTCTGACGTGGAGCTAATCTGAAGTAAACATTAACAACCTTAAGTTTTTTAGATCTTTCTGCTTCACATATTAAATATAGATATTGGGTGGATCTGAGTGGGATGAGGTCACCTTTGTAGATGTCGTAGGTGTTGATGTTGTCCTGCGCCTTCATCAGAGGACAGTCCTGCTCCACCTCGCAGTGAAACAGGAAGCAGTTATCCTCTCCCGCCGGCTTGTTGCCATTGAACACGGCCATGTTGCATTTAGCTCCTTCAAAAAACCACAAAAAAAGTCAGAATTGAAAAGTCTCATGAGGAGGAGGAAAGAGAGGTCTCACGTTACGCTAGCAGAAAGAATCAGAAGCTTATTGCCAGGTCTACAAAAAACAATCAAAAAGGTAGCAGCTAACTGGAGGTTAAACACATACAGAGTGAGCGTGACGGTGACCATGTGACGGGGGTCATGTGAGCGTGATCATGTGACCTCACCTGGCTTCACCTCCTCAGAGCAGCAGGAGAGCACGCAGTCTCTGTCTGAGGTCACGGCCCGGGCGTCCATCGCTGTGCTGGGATTGGTCATAGCCTGCCTCACGTTCACGATGGCGCTCAGATGCTGCCGCGAGTAACACGTCTCCGGGTCCAGCGCCTGTGATGTCACCAGTGATGTCATCAGTGATGTCACCACCACCAGCAGCAGCGTTGGTGAGGAAGAAGAAGGAGGAGGCGTCATGGCGGCCGCTGATCTACGGTCAGTTTTAAAGAGAGAGAGTCCACAAACACTAGAGAACTGAGGAGAGAGGACACGATACGAGTTATTCATTTATACTCAAATAAATACACTTAAATATAACTTTACATATAATAATCCTACACATTGTACGTGATAGGCTAAGGGGCGGGACATCGGAGCGGTCGACCAATCACAACAGAGCAGAACAGAGCCCCTTTGTGTTTTCATATAAACAAATATTCTGCCTAAATACATTATTTTGGGTGTTTAGCCTCAAAAACAACAGGTTTATTTAATTAAAACAATTTATTTGAATGAGGTATACACTCATAAGTTATATTCATTAAAGAAATCGGATCAAATTATAAAAATATTCACACATTTTATAAGAGTTATGAAGAAAAATGTCAAGTAAATGAGATTTATTACAGGTCTTTATTTTAGCTGAACTTAATAAATAATAAACATTAAATAAAAGGCATGAATCCGTCTCTTTTTACTGATTACACAAGTAAATGACGGAATAAAAAAGAAATAAAAAAAGGTGTTTATTGGAATTATGAGGCTAATTAAATACTTAATAATTAGGGAAAGAGATTATTTACTTAATGGTAGAAAAGCATAGACAGCAAATGTATGATTATATAACAACATGAGTATCTTTAGATTTAAATTCCTTTGATGGACTTTTTTAAAAACGTCTCACTGACAGTTTTTTGACACTAAAACACCTTTTTTTTTAAGCGCCCCAGATCTGTCTCCGCTGACAAAACACGAGCCTAAATTAGACGAATCAATCGACTCCGAGTAAAAATAGAGCGTCTCCATTTTTAGCTTTCCTCCTCAGAGCGAATCAGGTCAGTGGGTTTTATTAATAGACGGCAAAATAAGTGGAATAAAGAGAATATATCTTCATCGTCATCATACAAAGGACAACGACATTTCTTTGGCAACTCTCACTGCCGTAACAAATAGAGGTGGGAAGTAGTGGAGTACAAATACTTCGTTACTGTTCTCAAGTACAAGTTTCTGGTATCTGTACTTTACTCCTCTACTTATTTCTCTGACGACTTTTGACTTTGACTTCTCTCATGTTGAACCCAAATACCTGTACTTTCTACTTCTTACATGTTGAACTCAAATACCTGTACTTTCTACTTCTTATACTTTGAACACAAATACCTGTACTTTCTACTTCTTACATGTTGAACACAAATACCTGTACTTTCTACTTCTTACATGTTGAACTCAAATACCTGTACTTTCTACTTCTTACATGTTGAACTCAAATACCTGTACTTTCTACTTCTTACATGTTGAACTCAAATACCTGTACTTTCTACTTCTTACATGTTGAAC